TGGACGAGGGAGTGAAGTGTACTCTGTCCAAGTTTGCGGATGACACAAAGCTATGGGGAGATGTGGACATGCTGGAGGGCAGGGAACAGCTGCAAGCAGACCTGGACAGGTTGGACAAGTGGGCAGAAAACAACAGAATGCAGTTCAACAAGGAGAAATGCAAAGTGCTGCACCTAGGGAGGAAAAATGTCCAGCATACCTACTGCCTAGGGAATGACCTGCTGGGTGGCACGGAAGCGGAAAGGGATCTTGGCGTCCTAGTCGACCCCACGATGAACATGAGTCAGCAGTGTGGCGAAGTCATCAGAAAAGCCAATGGCACTTTATCATGCATCAGCAGATGCATGACGAACAGATCCAAGGAGGTGATACTTCCCCTCTATTGGGCGCAGGTCAGACCGCAGTTGGAGTACTGCGTGCAATTCTGGGCGCCGCAATTCAAGAGGGATGCGGATAACCTGGAGAGGGTCCAGAGAAGGGCCACTCGCATGGTTAAGGGCCTCAGACCAAGCCCTACGAGGAGAGACTAGAGAACCTGGACCTCTTCAGCCTCCGCAAGAGAAGGTTGAGAGGCGACCTTGTGGCTGCCTATAAGTTCATCACGGGGGCACAGAAGGGAATTGGTGAGTATTTACTCACCAAGGCGCCCCCGGGGGTTACAAGAAATAATGGCCACAAGGTAGCAGAGAGCAGATTTAGACTGGACATTACTTCTATGAATATGAATCTAGAGTCGGAAGGGACCTTGCAGTTCTTCTAGTCCGACCCACTGCCCTGGGCAGGAGAAAACTGGGCTTAAATGACCCCAGCTAGGTAATCGTCAAGCCTCCTCTTAAAGACCCCCAACCTACGAGCCAGCACTACCCCCTTGTAAGTTGACTCCAAATACGGCATAGAAAGAGAATTAATAGATGTATCTTTTCTATAAAAATGTCTATTTGTAGGGCTAGCCAAAATCTGTCATGTTTTTTTTTTAAACAAATATATCGTTTTTGTGAAAGCTGAAATATTTTTAATGTAGATTAGCAAAAACTTTCACTTAAAAATCTCAATCATTGTACTGAAAAAATGTTGAAATGTCCCGAATTGTAACTTTTCATTAAAAAAATAAATCAATTTATTACCAAACCAAGTTAATTTTAATGGTATTCAAAAAATATACAAGCTCAAAACTGAAACAAAAATTGTCATTTTATGAAAACTGAATGTTTTGATGGATCCAAAATATTTTTTCTAAAGTTTTAAAGCTTCTTGGTTTCTTTTCCATTCTGAAAGTATAATTTTCAAATTTTAATTGCAAAAATCACCAAAAAAAATTATTCCTGGTGGCTTCACTCTTTTCGACCTATTAGTCTCGAGTTGCCACAGCTAAACACCAATGAGGAGATACCGGAAAGACTATCTGTATTTGTTTGCATAGACCAGTTTCAAGATGAAAGGTGGTTGTGAACAGAGGAACAATAGCTGAATTGGTGTTAGCATTATTTCTTCTCCCACATAAAGTACAATCCCTCAGTTTGATCTTAAAACTAGACCGGCCCTTAATTTTATTTTAAGGACAAAAAAGGAACAAGGACTAGGATAAAATGGACTTCATGTAAGAAGTATATGTGTCTTGCCTATAGCAGACTACATACAAATACATGACAATGGCTGAGAGAGACTCTCTCTCCATTTAAAGGGTCAACATATAGAAAGTAATTAGTGCTACAAGACTTACACTCTAGGGACCATCCCTATTTGAGAACAAACTATCTAATTGACAAGAACACTTACCACAATACACTATAGAACTGTTTAGACTGTGGTTCCTTCTTCCCCTATCACCTTCTGGTTTATCAAACTTTACAAATCAGTCTTTACAACAAATTGTTGCTGAAATGTATCCAATTTCCTTCTTAAAGTCTCAGCATTCATGGGACCACGCGAGAAAACCGAGCCCGCATTCAAAATCAAAGCAAGCCTCAGACCCCACGGTCAGGGAGAAAGGACTGAATACAAAACTACCCAACAGCTTCACTACCAGAAGGCAAACAAAAAGAAGTCTAAATTCACTATTTAGTGCTACTGCAATAGCTATTCTATGCTATATATCAAAGCAATGCTAATCATTGCTCGAATATGTTCTGTTAGGATATTATTTCTTTCAAATGAACAAGAGAGGAAGCCTGAAGAACATCATATGAGTTTTTTTATTCTTGTTGGGAAAAAATGGTTACTACTTGCAACACAGTCATGATGGAAAATACAAGTTATCCGTCTATAATCAGAGATCTTTGAGGGTGACTCTGCATCTTCCCTACTTGATTTCCAGATTTGCTAAGCAAGAAGAACTTCTTCCCAGTTAGAGTGGCCGAGGTCTGGAACGGGCTCCCAAGGATGCTTTAGATGCTTCTCAAGCAAATCCCGGGACGTCATTCTCCCCCTGTACTCGGCCTTAGTGAGGCCGCAGCTGGAGAACTGTGTCCAGTTTTGGGCTCCACAATTCAAAATGGATGTGGAGAAGCTTGAGAGAGTCCAGAGAAGAGCCACGCGTATGATCAGAGGTCAGGGAAACAGACCCTACGATGACAGGCTGAGAGCCCTGGGGCTCTTTAGCCTGAAAAAGCGCAGGCTCAGGGGTGATCTGATGGCCACCTACAAGTTTATCAGGGGTGACCACCAGCATCTGGGGGAACGTTTGTTCACCAGAGCGCCCCAAGGAATGACGAGGTCGAATGGTCACAAACTACTTCAAGATCGTTTCAGGCTGGACATAAGGAAGAACTTCTTTACTGTCCGAGCCCCCAAGGTCTGGAACAGCCTGCCACCGGAGGTGGTTCAAGCGCCTTCATTGAACACCTTCAAGATGAAACTGGATGCTTATCTTGCTGGGATCCTATGACCCCAGCTGACTTCCTGCCCTTTGGGCGGGGGGCTGGACTCGATGATCTTCCGAGGTCCCTTCCACCCCTGATGTCTATGAAATCTATGAAATCTATGAATGTCTCTCCATACCACCTGTCAGATTCTTTTGTATGTGAGGAACTTTCACACAGCACAAGACAGGAAAACGTTTAAAGTAATAGAACAAAGTGGCCACAAAACAGAATCATAAATTGATCTGGAAACCAGCAGATGCTTTTCACTGTTTTTTTAAAACTGATTATTGTTCAAGATCACTGCCTAATCTGCAGATGTGCCAACTCTTGAAGTTTTCTACAGAACTTCAGCTGAAAGTGTGCACTTTTAAAATTATTTTTAAAAAGCTTTTATAAAATATTACAGGTCTTTAAAAGTAAAAAATGCAACATTACTTACAAAACACAATCTTTCAAGTATACGTGGGATGTGCAATAAAAATGTTGCATGAATCACCAAAAAAGTACATTAGCAGTCAAGCAATGAGAACTACAAAAAGCTTGCCTCCCAAAGGTGGTGATAGGTGACTACATGAATAAGCAGAAAAGTAGAGATTAATATTTTTCTTTAAATCTAAAAATAGGATTAAAATTAAAAATACGATCTGTCACTTAAACTGACAGATGATAGAGAATAAATGAAGAGACCTGAAGAAAGCCTTGCATTTGAAAGCTTGTCTATATCTATCCCAACCATGCCATTGGTTAAAAGATACCACATACAAAAAATCCTCACCTCTAACAGATGGTAAATCCTCACATACCAGACGGGAATTTACAGATTAGAAACTAAAAGTTTCTGCACCCTGTTCTTCTAGCACCAGAGACATCCAGTCAACACTTCTGAAGCCACATGCATAACTTTGTGCTGGTAAATGTATGCAGTTTTTTGACTGAGGGCTTTTCTCCAAGACAAGTTATGGAAAATACAGGATGAGACTTTTGCAGTGCACTAGCTATTCTGCATTAAACCCTTATGGTACACTGTTAGTAGGCAGTAAGTGCAAGGTAATGTATTCACTTTAAAAGTTTCTTAAACAACCTTGATTTAATCAATCATGGCCATGTCAGTAATGGTATATATAACATTATTTTAAATACAGTCTGTTTTAAGTAAGCTACATCTCATGTATGCCAAGTGACAGTATATGAACTTCTCCCTCCTCTTTAAAAATGGAGTAAGCTACCTCATCCTATACCTCACCTAACTTTGCAGTAACTTTCCCAGGTAGACAAGCCTGAGGGCTGTATTACATAACTTAAGATTTCAGTTCAGATTGTGAGAGATCTCAAATTAAGAAACAAGAGCATAAAACTGTATAAGCATAAGCAAAGTGCCTAAACAGAGAAAAACAACATTAAAAAAACAAGACAGTATAAGTAACTTCTTACCTATTGGATATCCCAGTGCAAAGTCATTGCTTTGTGTTGCAAAAATAGGGAACAAACCCGCTTTGCTAAATCGACTTTCAGGACTGGCTACCAATAATGTTAAAATGCAGACTAAGAAAAATATAGAAGCTTTGGCAACTAGGATGCTGTAAAGGAAGGACCAGTTCACATTAGAAAAATTAAGTATTACCATATTTTTGAATAGTAAAGCTGGGAGTGCAAAGCGGGAGACAAAATTTCCCAGACCTTTGGCCTGAGTTGATGTGATGATGTTGGCTCTTCCAGCTATGTATCCACAAAGGATTATGCCAAAGCACTGTAACAGGGCTGGGAAAAGCCTACTTATTGACATTGAAGGAGGACTACCAGTGGTGTTGAATTGGTAGTCCAATTTGCCAGATAAGACATTAGACATATTGGCTGAAGAGAAGTTCTTTGTACTGAAGTCTAAAAAGCCATCCATTTTCTTTTGCCACTTGTTTCAAAAGCAAAGTACAGAATGTTCTAATCTGTAAAAGAAATGAGAAAAACACAAACACTTTATTAACTTTGAGTGGGTGTTTGTCTGATTATTTAAAATGCATTTCTAAGTCCCCTCCAAAAGTCCTTCTTTCTGTCAGCAGGCCAGATTCTGTGAATATGTCCAAAGAACAGCTTTGAAGAGAGAGAAATAAAAAATTCATTAAAGAAAAAGCTTCAAAATCATTTGGATGGATTCCAAGAAGACATCCTTGCCTCTTGACTATTATTCTTTTCTGCTGATAGCAGCAAGCATACAAAATTCACCAAGTGAAGAGCTGTACAACTAATGCTACTGCTAGAATCCAGAGGGAAATCAGCTTTAAATTCTAAGAAAAATGTCAACTGAAACATTAAAACCAAAACGTAAATCATGACCTCAAATGTAAAAAATGATTTGGCATGGGTAGAGAAGGTAGTTTTAGCTCTTCTGATGGAAAAACAAAATTACCGTGAAGTAACAGGATGTAAAACTATGGCACTTCTCTTACTGGACCAGAATTAACTAACTAGTTTAATTTAACATAGCCAGGTCTGTCAAATCACATATAACACTGCTTTTGAAAACAGACTGCCATGCTACCATCTACTGCATAGTGTCATGACCCAAAAGGCATAATTGTGTGTGTGTGTTTCGGCATCAGAATTACCCACGTTAAGTTGCAGAGCATTGCACGGGAGTTTCCTGTAGCAAGAGGAAACTCCGGTGCAGGGACCAGTTTCCCGCCTTTTCTGCAGCTTCTTTTGCAGAGTGCATTGCTCGAGTTGCAAGAGGAATGCACGGTGCAAAAGAGTTCCCGCCACCGGTATGCAAATTTGTTCCCCGTGATTGGCTAGTGCTAAATTATTCACACGTGGCGGCTAGCGATTGGCCTGTTAGCTGTATAAGAGGCGTGAGCATTTTCCGCCCAAGCCGAAGAGGACTCCACATCCATCTCGTGGGGACTCTGGGTACACGGCAGGGTAATAGAAACCCTGTGTGAGATCCAGAGGAGCTTGGCGGCCTGATCCACCGCCCACCTCTTCCTGTCTTCAAGCGCGACTAATATAAGACGTATTTACGATTTCTACATTGGTGGCCTGTTCACCCAGAGCATCCGGAGCTCTGCACCGTGGAGCCTAGCAACCTCCACGAGACCGTCTGTGTTGTGTCTGTCTGTAACTACAACTTAATCAAGCTTTCCAGCCTACACCATTGCCATCTCGGTGTAAGTAAACAATCTTTTAAACTACCGATACGCGTCCGTGCCTAATTCCAGAGCGAAGGCCTTCCCTCTCCGCCCCCGCATGCCCGGGCTGCTGGCCACAGCCCGCGTGCAGCGCGAAAAAGGGCTCGGGGCACTCCCGGCCCGCACACATAGGAGTAACTTGCCTAACACTACTTTGACTAACCTTCCACCCTGTTCTATAATTCTCTCCTTCATTCTGTCCCTTCAACAGACAAAAAAGTTTCTCATCCTCCTTTCTCTGTTCCATCTTCACTTGCCAATAAGCACATTATCCTCTTTTACACATCCACTGTCATTCCCTTTCCTACCCTTGCTCACCTCTGGCTGTGACCTCACATTACAAAATGCTTTCAGCTCTCTGACCTGAAAAACCAACTGTGGCCCCAATACACTCTCCTACTATTACTTCATCTCTATACTTACCAAGTGCACTTTTCAATCACTGTCTGATGTTCTTTTCCTCCAATCCTATCCTTAGACCAGTGGTTCTCAACCAGTGTGCCATGGCACGTAAGGGGCTAGAGACCCATTGAAGAAGCCATGGTACTGGCACTGCTGCTGCTAGGCAAAAATGCCCTGCATGCTTCTGTTTCAGGCGGTTGTACAATAGAAGAAGGCACTGCTGTCTGAGTTAGGTTTTGCTCCCCTCCCTTCCTGGCTGGCAATTAATAAATAGGAATTACAAGCAACATCTTCCTGAGGAATTCTTTGGGTATAGGGCACAGTCACATTCAGCTTCTGCAAATCTAGAAACAGGCGTGTGGGATAGTTCTGTGTGGCAGTGGCAACCTGGAGATAAGCCAAGGTAGATAAGCTAAGACTTTACAGTAGTTCTCAACAGGGTGCTGTCAATTGCAGAAAAGTTATGGAGAGTGCCTTGTATTTAACAGACTAAGAATACCTGCTTTAGACCCTCTCCACTCCAGTTACCATTTAGTATCCAGAATGATAAAATACAGACCACGTTATACAAGAAACCCACAGACCAACATACGTATCTGCACAGAACCAGCAATCACCCTAAACACACCAAAAAAGCTGTGATATACAGCGAAGCCCTCAGATACCACCGCATTTGCACTGAAGAGAACACCCGGGATTGCTACCTCACCAATCTCAAAAAGGCTTTCACCCAACAAGGACACTCCTCCAGACAGACAGATCGCATGTTTGAAAGAGCCACCCAGATACCACGTGAAGAACTGCTGCAGTACACAAGAAACTCCCCCCACAAATTGCATACCGCTGGTTATGACATATCACCCCTCCCTCGAACCCGTACAGAAAATCCTCAAACAATTGCAACCCATACTAGAAAGAGACCTTATTCTTAAAAAGATCTTCCCAGAGTCACCCATCCTAGCCTTCAAACAAGCACCGAACCTCGCCAACCTCATCACCAGAAGCAAACTTCCTCAAGCCCAGAACACACCAAATGGATCCAGACCATCCCATGACAAGAAATGCAAAACCTGCCATCACCTCTCCCCCACCCACACAATTACTACACCCAACAACAGAGTCATCAGCATTCCCGGATCTTACAGATCCTCCAGAAATGTAATATATCTCATCTGATGCACCAAATGCCCTGATGGAAAATACGTAGGAGAGACCAAACAACAACTGCGCACCAGAATGAATGCACACCGGAAATCTATCAAAGACAGGAATACCCAATTACCTGTGGGGGCACATTTCTCACAAGAAAACCACTCTCTCTCCAATCTCTCAGGCCTGATCCTCAAAGGGAACTTACAAAACACTTCCCAGAGATGAGCCTATGAACTCCACTTCATCAACCTCCTACATACTAAAAATCATGGACTAAATAGAAATATTTCATTTATGACACATTATAACCTGCCTGACATCTGACTCCCCAGGTATCTCTCCACTATTCATCCCCCTTCTCTCTCCCCCCCCCCCAGTCTGTCTCTCACCCATTGAATCCTCAATCTACATTTTCAATGACTGCCTATCTTGTATGCATACCAGCCCAGCCTCTGACTTCTTTATTTTTCATTCCATCCAGGAAGAGCACACGCCAACTGCAGAAACTTCCTTAGCCTGACGAAGGGTTTTTGAACCCGAAAGCTTGCTTAATAATTGTTTCCCAACTATTTTAGTTGGTCTAATAAAAGACATCAGATTCACCCAAGGAACCTTGTCTGCCAGTTACCATTGACTGCATTCACATGAAACATCCGTTACCAAAATCTCTAATGGCCTCTTATTAGCCAAATCTCAGAACCAATACTCCATCTGCATCCTTTCTCCAGCTGCCTTTGATAGCGTCAGTCATGCTCTCTCCATGGTTTCTCTGATTCTGCCCTTCCCCTGTTCTCCTCCCACCTTTAGATGTTTTCCTTCAGAACTTGCTTAAGAGGAAACCTCTGCTTTCTGTGGGAGTCCCACAAGGCTCTATCATTGGTCCTGTGCTGCTCTTCCTCTACATTTTATGCCTGAATAACCTCAGCCATAAACATGAATTTAATTTTATGTGGATGACTCACAGATCTGATTTCTCTGGTTTGGACCTGTTTCTTTCTTCCAAATTAAAATCTTGGCCTGGCTCTCAAAGATCTCTTTGTTGATGCCGTTCTGTCAGTTCAAGCTCAGCAGTTTAATTTCTTAGCATGCCATCCTTATTGCCTCCTTTCTCAATCACTGGACAACATCATCCTGCCAGTGATGCTCAGAACTGTAATCTGGGTGACATATTTGACTGGGTCTTCACTCAATGTCGCATCCAGGTTACATTTAAGTCTTGCAGATGCCTACTGCGTAACAGTTCTAAAATTAACTCTTATCCAGACTCTCATCCTCTGGCATCTTGCTCACTATTGCATCTGGCCTCAACAAATGCAATTTTGCCTCAGACAATTTAATCCAAAACGCTACTGCAAAGATTGCTTTCCTAGCTTATCAATTTGGCCCTTTCATCTCTCCGTCATCCTTCTACTGGGACATCATACCTACAATATTTGTCTTCATTCTCAAGGCCTTTTGGGGCACATGTCTTCCCTCCCTATCTTTTCTTAGCTACATGCTCCCATCCAGGCACATCATGCTTAGGCAATTCAGGGCATCTCCCATAGCCACTCAAGCAGTCTTCACAGTGGCCACAGGGAGCACCTCCACAGGAATTTCACTCCTGCATCTCTGGGTTTGACATGTGAGCAGGTTGTTCACATGCATCTCTCCCTAGTAGTGCTGAAGATGTTGCATAAACCTATACTGAACAACACTAGCATTATATACAGTGTGCTGTCAAATGCAAAGTGAATGATATACTTCAGGCTAGTCTAATTTAAACTTTTGTTTATAAAAAATCTGCAAAGACTAAATCAATTCAGGCTCAGGCTTTATAAATATCTGTCTCTAACCTAATAGTACAGCCAACTAAATTAAAGAACTTCTCCCTTTACTCACCTGCTGCACAGATCCTGTTCTGTCACTGACCTCTGTGCATATGCTGCCTGGCATATAACTGGAGTTCTGACACTAATACAAGTCATATTTCTTTCAAAAAAAGGAATTAGGAGATGCTACAATAGATGGGAATTCCTGTCCTAATCAAGAATAACTGCTGTGGCTATAAGAGGATTATGGCTGCTTGCTGCTACTGTACAGAGGTCATGTCCATGTACAAAGGTTTTGTCTCTATAACTTTTTAAGGTTTACAGCTGCTGACATTACTAAGTTGCTGAAGTGCAAGCACACACAGAGCCCTTTGCCAGTGCTTTATGTCCTCACTG